CACAATAAATGGCTGCGTGCCAACTGCGCTAAGGCTAACCACAGTTTGATTCTGAATAATTGTGATGACAAGAGAGCAGAGTAGTAGTAGTAGTAGTACTAGTACTAGTACTAGTACTAGTACTAATACTAGTAGTAGTAGTAGTAGTAGTAGTAGTAGTAGTAGTGGTAGTGGTAGTAATAGTAGTAGTAGTAGTAGTAGTAGTAGTAGCAGTAGTAGCAGCTGCAGTAGTAGTGGCAGTGGTAGCAGTAGTAGTAGTGTCAGTGGGTCGTCGTGGTGGTGGTAGTACCAGTAGCAGTAGTAGAGTAGTAGCAGTAGCAGTAGTAGGAAGGAATGGTGGTAGTCGTCGTCGCGGTGGTCGCGGTGCTGGTGGTGGCGGTGGTGGCGGTGGCGGTGGTGGTGGTGGTGGTGTCGGTGGTCGCGGTGGTCGCGGTGGTCGTGGTGGTCGCGGTGGTCGCGGTGGTGGTGGTGGCGGTGGTGGTGGTGGTGGTGGTGGTGGTGGTGGCGGCGGGTGGTGGTGGTAATCGTAATCAATAGCAGTAGTCGTCGTCGTCATAGTAGTTGCTGTTATTGTTGCTGTTGTGGTAGTGGGCGAAGAGGAGCAGGAAGAGGATGAGTGCTAGCAGCAGCTGAGTATCAGTAACTCGAGCCGGCATAATCAAAAAACCATGCCCAGCTTATCACAAACTGTCACTCACATCCACCGGCCCCGAAGCGACTGCCAGGCTGCTTCCCAGCTGATTGGCTTGTCACTAGCCAGGTCATGCAGGCAGGCTTCTGCACGCTCCTCTAATTAAACAGTTGTGTCGAATTTTCTACGCAACGTCCTGTTGTCTGATGCCAAAACTTCGCATACCCGCCTACCGGCCACGTCATCAAGTCAGCTAAGGCTGACAGTCAACACGCGCCAAGACAGCTTCGGAATCATAGTGCGCAGCATTTGGCGCTCACACGTTCAAACGCAGTTCGACGCGAGAGGAGAGCAGCAGGTGCACCAACCCTAGCTTTGAAGTGTCTCTGCTCGAGGCTCAGTTTCGTACGAATCGGAAGTTTGTGATTCATGCCCTCTCTCGATGCGATGGTTACAGAAAGCCTATCCTCACAGAGCATGGCGTGGAACATCATGGAACAGTTGATCTGACCCCAGCCGCAAGTAGCCAAGGATGCGGTCAGTCCCGGAGCTCTTCTACAGCTATTCCCAGGTACTGTCGGTACCAGTGCTTCTGCTGGGCATTCCCCAGTAGTGCAGCTGATGCTTCCTCGGTACCGGAAAAAAACACATCCCACATCAGATCCACCATGGGCTGAACGACGGATACACGTCGCTACATAGACCCGGCACATGACGGTCCCTATACCCTAAACCCTAAACCCAAAACCCTAAACCCAAAACCCAAAACCCAAAACCCCTACACATAGAGGTGGGAACCCATAGGGACTCCGAGTTCGGGGGCCGAGAGGCGTTGATGCTGTCAATACATCCCCCCGCCGTGGCCCAACGAAGTGCCGGGGGAACTTCGAGAACCTGCACAGATAACTCGGATTCTAGGAGTCTAGGGCCTCAAGAGGCACCAAGGCGGCGAGGCCTCGTACTGTAAGACACAGTCTGTACATGATATATCGTGATGCATATACCTCGGCCAAAAGTTGCAAAGCAAAGCAAAGCAAAGACAAAATCGGTGCACCTCGTTCAGGCTCAATCCATGCACCTCTTCCACTGCACCTCAGACAAAAGGTGTGGCATAGAGGCGTCTTTTTCTGAGATATGCCTCGTAGGGGATATCAGGAGACTCCATCTGACATACAAGGACCTTGCTGCAGTGGTTTTAGTATAACCAGTTTGAACAGATTTGTAGTTTGAGATATCCCATATTGTAGGGGGTAGCATCAGACTATAGGGATTGACAGCAGAAGATGCAGATCCCGTAACATCCCGTGATGCCGCAATCAAGAGCAAGGCAGTCCCAAGCCCGGGGCCCAAGTCCAGCAGCTCCTCCAACCTGCCCGGAGGGAAGGTCAGCTGGCCTGGCTGGGCCCAAAAAGTAAACGTGTGTTCTATGTATGTATATCTATATAGAAAGATAGATATGTCTGCATATACATACATATACATACAT